CTCTCTTCCACAGTCCACCAAGCACTCAGAGGAGCCCTTTGCCACCTACTTTGATGAGAAGGTCTCCATTCCTGAGGAAGAGGTTAGTAAAGAGTCCTTAGCGGGGAACGCTATTGTTTGGGAAAGCCTATGAGTGAAAGATCTGCTGGATGACTGAAACTCCATAGCCTCGGGTCTAATTTTTTTTGGCAGACATTCTCTTGTAATCAAAATAAATAGAAACTGTTAAGGAAAGTGAAGGCCTTGAAAATAGTTGCCAGGTGGCACTAGTGAGCATTTTTTGATCAGGAAAATATGAATTTTGTGTTTCTTTTTTATTATGGTGGCTCTTGTCCTGTTTGGGAAGTGGTTGGGCACATAGATACTGATACTGTTACTGTGGTTTTAGAATGAGAGGCTGATGCAAAGAGCAGGTAAGGGACTGGCTCCGACTTGGAAGGAGAAGTGGCCAGCTTATCGATAGAAAGTACATAAGATGGAAGTGAAACTTGGACACACACAACATCCAATATCCGAAATCCTTTGTTCTTGTAAGCTGATGTTGTTGCTTCATATGTGATAACAGATAAATTAGATCATTAGTTCGGAAGCGATATTTAGTTTAATCTCTTTTCCTTTTTGTTCAGTATTCTTGTTTTAGCTTTCGTAAACTCTGGGCTTTCACGGGACCAGGCTTTCTTATGAGCATTGGTTTCCTGGATCCGGGAAACATTGAAGCCGATTTGCAGTCTGGAGCAGTGGCAGGATTTCAGGTGAACATCTAGTCCTATGCCCGTCCTTATAAACACACAATATACCCTCACATCCCTGTTGGATAGCAGCCTCAGGGGCTACATGCAGAGACTTCATTGGTAGTGACATTTAGGTGAAAAGTACTTCCTATCTGGTCTTTTAATTTATCCACATAGTTTCCTGAACAAAGGAGAAACTGCAAATGGCAAATGGGAGAAACTGAGGCTCAGAAAGGTACAAGGTGACCTAGGAGGTCATGTGCAAAACCTGATATAGAACTCAGACCATTTGATTCCTGACCTGGGTTTTCCCTCAGTTTTAGTGTTTCCTATTCATGTGTGGCCAAACAAACAAACAAAAAAACCTAGGTGTCTAATGAGTGTGATGGGGAGATTTTGTTCTTCTTAGTTGCTCTGGGTCCTGCTGTTGGCCACCATCGTGGGGCTGCTGCTCCAGCGGCTCGCAGTTAGACTGGGAGTGGTGACTGGGCTGCATCTTGCTGAAGTGTGTCACCATCGGTATCCCAAGGTGAGCAATGTACTGTCCTGTCTGTCTCTCACCCATATCATAGGAATCTGCGTGTCTGGCATATGTGCTGGCCCCACTATATACTGAGACAGTGGAGGACTCTGGGGGCCAGTGGCCCTGAACAATGGGAGACCCAAGGGAAATTCTGTAATCCCTCTTGCTGCCAAGCCATGCTTTTTCCCTTCTTTAAAATCAAACTTGAGATTCGCTTTTTCCCCAGAACGTTTCCTTAGAAAAATTCTGTTTGAGTAAACATTTCCCATTCATTCTACCTCCTGGCATCTAGCAGTGCCCAGCCCATGGGGGAGGGGAGTACTCCTTCTAAGAACTTTCATTCATACCTCTGTGTCCCTTCATCAGTTTATATTATATATGTATCTCTTTTTTTTTCTGTTTGACTTTGCCATCACTTCGAAAAAGGTAAATTTTTTTCCTTTTCTTATAAAGTGTATGTGTCAGGATCTTTGGATTTGCTAATAATTATTTTTCAATTTATCCACACCCTGGGGATTACACTATCCTCTGCACCTTCCTTCTGGACATTATGGGACTTTCTTACTGTCGCCTAAGACAGGAATGAACCCTACATCTAGAAGACGGCCTCCCAGAGTGCTAGGATTACAGGGGTGAGCCATTGCACCCAGCCTGGAAGACGTTTTTAACCGAGCTTTGTCTTTTGATAAGATAGTGATCTGCCTCTTGTTTGTCCTCAATATTTAATGTCCTTTCCTGGCTGTGAGCAGAAGGTATCTTTATCTGCTTTTCAAAAAAAACCTTGATAATTAATAATTTCCTTTAGCTTCTCTTTCTTCATGCATGTTAATGGTTCTTTTGTTGTGACAAGATATTTTTTGGACGGTAGGTATCTGGGGTTTTTTTTTTCTGGCTTCAGTGAGCCAGCATAACTAAATCTTCTTTCAGCTGGATGGTTTAGCCTGATTAGTTTCCTACTTTGATATATGCCACCCATTTCCAACCATTTCACCCTGACTCCTTTTGCATATCTGTTCTTTCTCACTTGCTTGTGTACTATTATTACTTTAAAAATGACCCCAACCTTTTCATGTTTGATTTGTGTCCTCAGCTATTGTCAGCATAAATATTTTGTCCTGCAGTAAGTTCCTAGTGTCTCTTGATCCCTATTTTAGCATCCTTATTCTCCCTCAAAACTTTGAGGATTGTTTTTAGGTAGGACACTAAGTAGAAATTAATGAATGGAAGTCCCATTCATTTCTTGAGTAGAAAAGAAAGAGAAAAAGGTAAGATCAGTTGCCACCCTGACCTTTGTTTATAGACTCTCCCACGTGGAAACCACTTTCCTTCTCCAGCTGGGAGCCACAGTGCAGTGATGGGCTGAGTAGAGCCAAGGTCTGGGACCTTATCTTTAGTCTACAGACTTCTAAAGGACTGTTTCAATATGCTGAAATAAAAAAAAAAAAAATGTGTGTGTGTGTGTCTCTCTCTCTCTCTCTCTCTCTCTCTCTCTCTCTCT